ACCAATCTTTTCCAATCTTTGCCTACCCTCAACATTTTCTATTGAATTCCACTTAGGGGACTAGTTATCGAAATAGTCATCTACGAAACGAAAGAAAAAAAGAAAAAAAAAGGAGGAAGAAGAAGAAGAGGAGGGAAAGAAGAAATTGATCGCAAAAAGGAATCCATAAATCACGCTCGCACTTGACCTTCGACCAACCTCCTTTCCCAACGGAAACCGATTTTTTTTTCAATCGTCAACCCTACCCTCAACTTTCTCTGTTAGATTACACTTTTAAGGCAAGGTCTGAAGAAGCTTGTGGTACTCACCTGTGTCGCGTGCGTGTACTACCTACTAGTTTGCCGGTGAAGCAGTGAGCCTCGGCCGAGGATCGCGAGGGTGTTACCCGGAGGGTTAGCTGGTCGATAGGTCCGCGCTTGCGTCCTCCTTATCACCCCCTCCTCACCCAGTCTCGCGAGCTAACGACGACGACGACGGGGAAAAAAAGGACGAGCCCCTATATGCTGCCCGGTCCCCGGTGTTTGTACAGGGTGACGGTGTTCGATTCACATCAAACACGCTCCACCTGCTGGCCGAACCGAAGACGAAACGTCAGCCCGCTCATTGGTAAACGTGGATTGCGCGTTTGCATCGATGCATGCGCCTCTGATTTCTTTTTCTTTCTTTTTTTTTTATTTCATCCTCGGCGCGCCTCCGTGCAGCGGCTCTTTTCAAAATATTATATAAAATTGGAGAAAACTCGTAATGAGATTGAAAGTTGGAACCCGTCTATAATATTATCTCTTTGCAACTCGAAATTCCTCTCCTCGCTTTTTCTCTCCTCGATATCGCGATAATTATAGAGAGAGTGTGCCGGATGGATGATGTTGATTCTTCTCGGTGCTCGCCACTCGACCGCCATTCTCCACGGATAAGTCGGCCTGGATAAAAGAATTAATGCAACGACCCAGTTATTCGTGATTCCTCGTCGTTGCATTTATTCTCGAGCTTTTGTACGATCTTACGGAGATCGTACATTTTTGAAACGGTTTCGGGAGAGAGAGAGTTTTCTTTATTGTTCGTGATATATGTGTGTGGTTAGGCAGCAGTTACAACTCGTGGAATCTTGGAAACGAATTTTCCTCTTGTAAGGACATATAAAAATTTTTATATGATCTCTGTGTTTCTGCTTGAAATTCTTGCAATAAAATTGATATATACGTTGTATACATTTGCGTGATAGTACACGGCGCGAGACGATATTCAACTAGAAGACGGTTCTCTCTTTTTTTCTCTCCTCCGTTTCCGCCTCTTTTTTTTTCCACTCTACCTTTTTGTATCCCAGGTAAAACGGCATTAGAGCGTTTTCTGTGGGAAAGTGGGTCACAAACATTTTCCCGGGGTGAAAACTATCAAAGGAGGCACGAACGTGGGGGATTTTCATTAAGATTATCACTACGCTTCCCGGTGCTCGTGTCCGTGTATGTCTAGCCTTGTTACGTAAGGAAATGCGAATCACGAGGGGACTCTTGTTCTTTGACGCGTTGACGTTTTATTTCTTTTTGCGTGCCAAGAGTTTTCCTTGCAGACCAATTAAACGACCACTCGTGAAACCGGTGTTAACACGTTGGAAAAATGGCTCGAGGGTAATTTCAGTTGTACGTGGTTTTTTTCTTTTTTCTTTTTATTTTCACGATTGTATTTTGTGAAGAATGAAGAAAAAGCTGTTTCGTAATATCTATAGGAATCGATTAGGAATTTTCGAATTAGGAAGAAAATTGAAGGGTACGATTATATAGCGGTATATAGATACGCAAGATGCAATCACGTATATACATTCGTACTATCGAAGCGTAAAGATATCGATGCATCGAGATCTTGAATGGTTTTCACGTCGTCCATGAATGATCTTATAAGCTATCCTATTGTCTTCGATATTCGCCTTTGTTCTCATTGTGACAACTTGAGAGGTTCCACGACAATAGCGTCGCGAGCATCATGACTAACGACAGTCCTGTAATTCCTGCAATCTTCGTTCAATCAATATCTATTGAATTGTTTGCCGGGCAGACATTCATTTTTCGTGCATGCAAATAATTCGAGATAAAAGTATTCCTTCGTTCTCGAATCAACCAAAATTCAAGTTTTAAAGCGGATGAACCATTTTTCAAGTCGATATCTGCATCCGATTATTTAAAGCTTCTCTTAATATGCAACCACCAATTTGTTCAATTTATTTAAATTTCAAACGTTTGCAATTCCCTCTCCCGTCGACATCGCTTCGTTTCAACGTGGTTGAAACAGAAAAATGCCTCCAATTAATCTCTAAAAAATTGTAAATTGTCTAGTGAGAAACGTTCTAGTTCCAAATTTCGGAGCGTTTCGAGGAACGTTCTCGAATTCCCCAGCCGCGTCGATAAGGCGGATCCCTATGTGAACAACGAGTACCGTGCACAGTGCTGACCTCGTGTAGGAATTACGAGAAACATACGTGGCTCATCGCCGGATTCGGAGACATGAATGCGTGGATCGCATACAACATCGGATGAAAAGGGAATGGCCGCTTCGCCACGATCTATCCCCACCAAAAACACCGAACACCTGAGCGTCCCTGGGGGCAGCTCAGGAGGAACAGTCATTATTGCGCCAGTATAACATTCGCTTCCAGTTCTCTTGAACGAGGCATCGAGTTTTCGAGTCCACGATATCCACGAGATCCACTGTTTCGCTATCCACGCGTTTATATATCCACGTTCCCTGTCCTGTCTTTACTACGGGAAAGGAAACCGCGTGGCCGCCCTGTAACGTCGATATATTCGATCGATTCCCGCGATACGATGAGATTGTTCTCGGGAAATAACGAAAATGTGACGTGAGACTGACAGATAGGAGAGGCTTGCCAATAACGTGACACGTTTCACAGTCGATCGTTCAGTGTGGCACGTTCACACCGCCAAAATGACAGTGGGAAGGACCAATTTTCACGCGTTCACCAGTGCGCTTGTGTCGGTACTGTGCTTGGTCCTGGTGGCGCTTCGTGTCAGCCAGGTAAGTTTGACACCGTTACAAAATTTTCCCATTTACTTTGCATCCATAAATCGAGATAAATAATTACTCGTTACGTTATATAAATACGTACATATATACGTATATAATATTTCTAACTTGGGATTATATATTATTGATCGACGAGCAAAGGAATCTTGGAGAGGTAGTTTCAATGATAATTTATCTAAATGAGTCGTTGATATGCAGTGACGATAATCTTGTTCTCGTAAATTATTAATTAGCTGTTCGCGTAATTAATTCAAATATTTCCATCGCGAAATAAGTAGATTATAGATATTTATCGATGCACAGGCGGTATTACTTGTTTACTCAAGAGTCAAGAGAGCTAAAGATCTGCGATACGAGATCTTTGTTGCGAACAAATAAACCCGTTTAAAAATGATCTTCGAATCGAGAGGAGACGGAAGATGACTGTTCTTTATCTTACTCGGGATATAACTCAGGATACATCATGTAAACGCGCGTACCCGGCAATAAATCGCCACGATCGACCACCTCTCGTCTCCAGCTGACTCATTCATCTCGCGCAAATACACTTCCTTGCCGCATCTAAATCGTTGTCCCATCCCAGCGATTGAACGTTAAACGAAAGACGATCAAAATAAGAAAAAAAAAAATAGAAAAAATCAAAGCAAAAATCAAAGCATCGTCGTCGTATCGAATCCACGATACAAGAATCAAATAATTCATTGCGAAATTCGTCCATTCCCTGTGGTGAATTCTATTCGTATATAGTAGAGGCGGATTAGAAGGATCGTAAGATGAAACGGTACTCGAAACGTAGTATTATCGTCTTCTAGGAAAAAGCGGATCGCTCAGGAATTCGCTAACCACGTAATACGATATGATACGGTAATCTATCGGCACGTATGTATGGTAAAACCACCATGGTAATACCGATCAAAAGTTTGCAATCACTTTTTCACTTATACACCTATATACCCAAGATCAAGTTTTAATAGATGCGACGAAACTAGCATTCTACTACTCTGTTCGAGGAATAAAAATAACTATATATTCCTCGAATGTTAAATACTAAGAATTATCATTTATTCATCATGGATCACAATAAGTCGAATTGAATTATAAATCTACTCGTGATCCTCGTTATAGGATCCAGAGAAAACTGTATCAACTCATTTTCTAATTTTTTAATATCTCACGTAACCAAATATTCTCTAAGCTACTTCTTCTTTCGTCTCTTTCGAATTTTCTTCCGAGTACGGGATAATTGCAAACTTTTTCGAACAAGTTAGTATACGCCGTTGTTCCCCACGTGGTTTTGGCTAATCTTGAAAAGAAAAAATTCAGATAAACCATTTGGCTTCGCCCGTTTCCGCGAACTCGGTACTCGGAATGTGTCCAGCGGGAGGGTCGAGATACCTTTGGTCTCCCTCTCTCTCTCTCTCTCTCTCTCTCCGTCTCTCTAAGTCGAAAATATATTGTGCGTCGAAATGGCAAGCAGGACCCTCGGATCTGCCTATTGCAAACATGGAATGCGCCACGGGGCATTGTGCGTGTGCGTGAATCGACGCACGCGGATATCGAATGCGTGAATTGCACAATTACGCGTGCCGGATAAAAGAGCTGGTTAAACGAACAGTGTGTGTTTATTTATGCGCGAATTGAATGGGAATATACGTGGAGACGTTTTTGCCACACGCTTGTGCAAATACCGAGGGGATGAGTAATGGAGAACGTTTCAGAGACGATATTCGAAACGATCGTTTTGTCTTTATACGTAATCCCCTGGGAACTTTCATAGTTATGAATAATGCACGAGTTGATTTCGCGAAATATTTCTATTTGATCGCTTCTTACAGACTTCTCCTTCCTTCCCGTACAGCGTGCAATTAACCATCGCAATTTTTGATTAAAAATATTCCTGCAAGAAACACTTCTTGTAAAGTTTTCTTCCTTTCCAATTCCTGAAAATTAAATCCCCTATCAAGGATTATTTTATTTGGAGGAATACGAAGAGAAACCCACATCTATCTATACTCGGTTTCTTCCGATCTGACTTTAGAACACCCGGTATGCAGTGGGCGAACACTTATACACCGTGAAACAATGATGCACACGCGCGCGCGCATACATCCACTCCCCGCGGACCGAACTTTTACTTAATTAAAAAATCTATTTAACAGGAAACTGGCCTTGCCTCATACGGGGCTATCTGCCGCGTAAATCGTAGATACGACTCGGCTCGTTCGAGTCCGGTCCGTATTATAAATACAACTTTTTACTCTTTGCCCTCTTCCCGAGGATCCGTTTTTTACGTACGCACAATTACGCACGTGTCACCGACGAGAGAGAGAAAGATATATATATATAGAGAGAGAGAGAGGAAAGAAACGAGGAATCGAAAAAAAAGGTGGATACACACGCGAATGTTATCGAAATCGGCGGATATGCTCTGAAAAGCTTGGAGATTCGAAAGCAAGTTGCGCAAGCTCGCGGGGAATTTTAATGGCGGACTGGCCGGCTGTCGAGGTGAGCATCGGCGAATTAATTGCAAACGCTTGTACCGACGCTTGTCAAGAATCTTTAAGGCGCCTCTTTCACCGATACACACACACGATCGAGGTATATATATATATCGTATATATATACGATACAATAATAGTAGGTGGCCTTATTAAAGCGTGCTAAAGCGACCTCGCGCCCATCGAATCAAACGCAACGCCGCTTCAATATTTATGAGAATTATCCTATTGTGTCGAATTGTGTTGGAGACCGGGAACGTGTGGATCGTTGCGATCCACGACCGATGATGAGTTTTAAGGATCGTTGTACGATTATTTTATGCCGGGTTTCGTCGCCGGTTTATGCGCCTGGCGCATGCCTGCACGCCCTGTTATGGGTTACATCGTGACGAAGAATAGGATAGCCATAAAGATGGATCATCGTAAAATCGTACTATCGCCACTTGGCAATGCTTCACGATCGTTAAATTGCGAGATTTATTCGAGAGTAATTTTAACACGTTATTTCGCCCGATTTCGAGGCAATGATAATGTCTCCCGTGGATTAATTATTGGAATGGACGAATCATGGAATCGTGGATATATAAGTACTCTGATAATCGAGGATTGTCGTCTCTAAAGATTTGGATGTTCGAAAATTTGTATATTGGAGGACTTGCTCGCTTTCTCCTTCGCGTTTCTCCAATGGTGTTATATCCATCGCTGGAAGGTTAAGAAAAAAGTCGCGTGAGATTCATTGAAAAATTCAAGTGAGGAAGACGTAAAAAATCCTGAAAGAGATGAATATGGATATGAAATGAATAAAAATTACGCTTTTTGTAAATATTTTATTACACTTTTATTACAATTTTATAAATAACGTGACATTCGTTACTGCGAATGAATGAAACATCGTAATTCGCTTCGTCAAATATTTGATCATGTGACGCGATGCGAAACAAGACCGCGAAAGGAAAAAAATTCTTCTCTGTTGGACACAATATACCATTCGATGTCTCCGAGAGGAGCGATTTTTTCGTGAAAAAAAAAAAAAAAAAAAAAAGAAAAATCTTACTCGTACATCTTATTTCTCGAGCGAACGGCGAGGAATTCGCATTTTCCGCGAGAATTCCGGCCGACCGTCTTCTGAAATCCGTGATCACGCATATGTATGCTCAACTTTGCTCGTAGAAATCGAATTTAAAACGTGACGCTCGCTCGCTCGCTCTCTCTCTCTCTCTCTCTCTCCCGTTTATATCACTTCTGTAATCCTCTTACGTCGTTTTTCGATCGACAGTCACGCGTAGAAGAAACGTATTTATAAATCCACGGATAGAGATCGTGGCCACCTCTACCGTCGAACGATATTTTCTCCTTGGATTCGAAGATTATATTTTATCTCTCGATTTTTTATTAAATAAAAAGTAAAATTGTTACAATTTTCGAATGGAAGAGATATCTCTCGCTTGATTTCTCAATAAGTAATCACGAATCGGAGTATCAGACTCAAGTTTCTCATCCACTATGTATTTCATATTTTTCGATGTTGGACGTACAAAATTGGCCAACCAAACGTCCACCATTGTTCCTATCGAACGCTACTACTAGAAGATACGCATTCCATCCTCGCATTATCATAAATAACATTCAACCAGTTAATCACACAACCAGTCCCACGGATTACAATATGAAATCAGAAGTATAAATGCAACGACGTCCCGATCGTTTCTTCTCGTAGATGTTTCACGGTCTACCGCAAGCATAATGCAACGCACAATTAATTCTTACGCGGTATTACGACCACTGGACCGGCAAGAATTCCAATGAATTCGCGATCCTCGCTACCCGGATCGCGAACCAATTCGATCCTCGAGGGTGGGGGGCAACGAAGGATCTTTTTCTTTCTTTCTTTCTTTATTCTTCTTCTTCTTTCTCTTTATCCCTCTCTCTCTCTCTCTCTTTCTCTCTCTCTCTCTCTCTCTCTCTCTCTCTCTCTCTCTCTCTCTCTCTCTCTCTCTCTCTCTCTCTCTCTCTCTCTCTCTCTCTCTCGAATGGCGCAAGAGCGCAAGAGACCATATAGAGGAGGATCTTGGACAAAAACGGTCAGAAACGTTGCATACTTTTCCTCTCATCGTGGCGTGTCCATTTCGGGAGAAACGAGCACAGGGTCCAACATTGCCTCTCTGCCTACGCCACCACGACGTCCTACGTCCCCCAGATAGCGCATGTCTTTCCTTCGTGAAGATTGCGAAAGTATACGAGAGAACTTCTCGTGAAGAGTGGTGGAATGTGTGCGCGTTTGTGTGTATGTAGAGAATATATCGACGATCCACCCGACGAGAAGGAGAGAGGCTACGCGCATTCGAAGGTGGTATGTCATACGTTGTGTATCTGCATCGAGGATCAAAACGCGTATGCACATACGAGAGGCGACACGGAAGCATAACGCGCACTGTATTGTCCGATTTTAGTCCCACGTCCCAGGATATCTTGAAACGACGCGTATAAAATCTG